GCGTTGCGTCAATGCTATGCTTTCAATCTCTCCTTCGAGTAAGTCAAAAAATCTTAGTACTTGTGGTTTGTTAAAACCTCTAGCACGTGCTATTGATGTTGGTTCCGGACGGCGAAGACTCAAGTCTGGATGTCGATTCTTAAACCCCAGATACCAATCTTCACCAGCAGTTACATTTTTAAATGGGTGTGGAATGTTATTACTTACTTATTGACCGTCTATAAATAATAATAAAAAAAGAAATAAGTAAATAAAACGACATTTTAGTCAACTAAATTACAACACTAGAATTATGTTCTTGTCCTAGTCTATTCCAGGGCAAATCGGGTAGTCACCCGTTATGCCCCTACCCGTTTTGCCCAAAACACGTTGTAAATTTCAACTACCGTAACCTAAAAATTGTAAACACTGGCGATGACTAGGTATTCACAAATAACAAGCACATTACTTGTAAATGATTATGTAAAACTAAGAAGAACATCATTTGCACTATATTCGAGTAAATAACACTAGCATAAGTCGTTTTTTTTTAATAAAAATAGTAAAAAACTTTGTTTTCGTCTTACCTTGAAAGTGTTCGCTTCACGGTTGCGGCCCGACTGCCTGAGATGGCGAGGCGGTCGGGACGCCGCACTGCACCCACACATTCTCGCTAACACTTATAGCATACCTACCATCAAGCCTACCCGTTTTAGGCAGGTTACCCGATTTAGGCTCATCTCCCCTAGTTATGTTCTTTGTTCTACTATATTATTATCATTATCATCTGTAATAATTATTTTAAGTTAACAGATCAAAATTATAATTTATCACATATAATTTTTGAGTTTACATTATTATTTTATAATTTACATTCTGTAATAACATAATTTACATAATCTTTCATAACACTGCTTTTCACTAATCTAGAACAAGAATTAGAATAAATGAGGTTTCCCTGCCTAATCCCACGAATCGCCTAAGCAGATTAGTTTAATTCCAAATAAACATATTTTCTCTTATCCCATGACACAGTTACCTGTCATATTAAGGATATATTATTTAATAAATGTTTCATTGTGTAAAAACATGAAAAAAAATTGACATGCAAATTGAATAAAAAATTTAATTGGTTGAAGTCGTACTTTATGCAGTCCTATTGTAACCTACATGGTATACCCCCATTGCCCCTCTGTTTAGCGATTAATAAATTAAATATATTTTCTATTATTATAATACTGCTTTCGATACGTTAACTTTAAAATAACATAATATCAACACAAAAAAAAACTTATTGGACTAACACCCATTTTCACTAACCTAGAACATGGCATAGCTTAACTAAGAAACTCCTAATATTACCTACGTATCGCATAAGCAGATTATTTTAATTTCAAATATATTTTTTATTTTAACCCTTGATATATTTATGACCTGTCATTTACGCAAATGCCTAGCGCAAGGCGCCGCATAACGAATATCATAACTTTAGATATTGTTTAATTTCGTTAGGTGGTTCCTAGTCAATGGTGAAATGCATTTTTACCTTAGGCGATTCCTAGATATTTAGATGTCAGATTTGGGCGAATCCGAAGTTTAATTAAAACGGATATATTTAGGTCGTTAGGTGATTCCTAGTCGTTTTTCACATAGGCGATTCCTAAATGTTTAGGCGGCAGATAAGAGCGATTCCTGATTTCAATAAAAGTAATGCTAATGAAGTAAAAATTTGATATGTTACAGAGAGACCTAATCGAGTGCAACAAAAAAATTATCGAATTAAAAGAGGAGATGTCTCGTCTAGAAAGTGCGGACGAGCCGTTGTTCGAGCGCGAGGCGGCGCTGCGGCAGGCGGCCACGGACAAGCGGCGGTGCGAGTACCTCGCGTGGGCGCGGGACACCAACAAGGTAACTAACGCCATTTGTACACCGACAGATACGCGAAGCTATGCGAACGATCACAAGGTTGGCTGGCACCTTTCGAAAAGCAAAATTTGTGATTAATTCATTTATTTTACTTTAATTCAGATTGTATCCTGAATTATTATATAAGTAAAAATAGTTTTTCCTGTTTAAAACTAGATATCCATTTAAGCTAGTTTTCCTAACCAAACAAAGGATATATAGTAGGAGTATGCCATGGTAGTTAAAATTTATAATAATCTACCCACAGAAATTTCGGAAGTTTAAATTTAAATCGTTTCAGTGGTTAGTCAGCAAATTTTATAATTTTGACTACCTTCAATAATGAAAAAACTTTAAAATAAGTAATTCTTTTATTTTATCTTCAATGTTACTGTTCGCGTACTTTGCTTGATCCACGAACTAACTGATTTAATTGATAAGTACAGTTACATTATATTTAATCTTAATGAATTGTTTGACATTTTATTAAGATATAAATAGTGTATTAATGGATAATGTGTTTGTATTTTTAATAATTTACTACGTATTTTTTATTTTTTTAATAATATTATAAATTTACATATGTTTTGTATGCCAGAAATGGTAAAATGCTGTAATTACCTTATACTAATCTTACATTAATTCATACCAATTACAGAAATTAAGACATGTTAGCAATAAACCCTTCAGTTTGTCCACAATACTTCACTTTCCGGATTTGTATCCAGGAAAGTTAGTTTAAAGTCACAGCAAGTGTTGCCTCGAGCTACTCCATGCTTCGGAAGGCACATTAAGCCGTTGGTCCCGTCTGCATTTGTTGGACGTTAATACCCTCCAATCCGGATTAAGCCATCATCAACCTAACCATATCATGCATAAGAATGATCGCACTAACCAACCGAATTGCAGTGGGGACAGAAAAGGGCAGATAAGGATAATGGAACAGTTAAACCCTTTGTATTTAAAAAAAAACAAAAGGCACCAAAACAATAGGGATGATGATTAATTTTTGTTTGTTTGTCCGTCAGGTAGAGTGTTAAAAAATATTAAACAGGTATTTTTTTATTTTTTTCGTAATCATAAAATTACGACGTTACTTTGAGTTGAAATTTCGCATGACGTCACATTAGGTTACGTTTTCTACTCAACTGTGACGTAGCGAGCCCCCACTCCTCAACTTTAATGCCTGTTAAATTGAAGTAAAGCTATTTAAATAAAGCTATTTCTTGTTAAATCGTAGCGAGCCCCCACTCCTCAACTTTAATGCCTGTTAAATTGAAGTAAAGCTATTTAAATAAAGCTATTTCTTGTTAAATTGAAGTAAAAAAAATACGTATCTAATATTTTTCTAATGACTGACGGACTAAATATAATTGCATTTTTTTACCCAGTCATCATCCCTGTTATAGAAAAGTTCGCTGTATTTCAAACCGACAAGTTTAGCATCTATATTATTTTATTTATTTTAAAGAAAATCCCCCTGTACCATGGGTAAAGACGGGCCTGTGTAAAGCATACGTTTTATTTGAATGGCTGATGTGTTGACTAAGTTAATATCTAGGTCCTTCACTATGTCATTAAAGCTACTCGCTCTTATCGTATAAGCATTCAATCTATAATGAGGAAGTATTAAAAAAAAACGAAAGCACTAAAAAGCACCTCCCTAGATGGCGATTCTAGCAAAAGTTGATTTTTGCAGGAAACGAATAGACCAAAGACATTAATTTCCGTTCCTATTAAATAAATAACATATTAAAAACTAAAATTTGAAAAGATCGAAACTTAGATATCAAAACAAATAGAATATGAGTTGTTTATTGAGTTTTGAAAACTAAATTACTTTTAACATGAAAGAAAACCGGAAAGGTTGTCATGGAGAAATCAAGAACGTACCGTGGCGACATCTAGTTAGGTTTCGGGAACTATTTTTTTTTTAAATACTTCCTCATTGGTTTTCCATAATGGTATGATACCTACTTCTTTTTAAATCGATAGCATCAGAGACAAAAACATCAAATTATTTTATCTCCACAACAGCAAGTCCGTCAAGCCATGGTGGACCAGATAAAAGAACGTCAGAACGCCAAAGAAGAACTTAAGAAGAAACTGGCCGAACAAGACGAGTATCACAGGCAGCTGTATACACAACTAGAAGAGCTGGTCGCCCACAAAACGTTGACCGACGCACAAAGCAGAAAAGCACACCAACGGAACATTTTACAACAGATCGAGTATAATAAATTATTGAAGGTGGGTAATATGTACAGAGGGTATATCCCAAGTAGCAAGAAGCGGTACTATTAGAATTTTCCAGAACATTTTAACGCTAATCAGCTTTGTAATGTTATAAATCCCAAATAGGCCCTAGTTTTATCGCTGACAAGCTGTGCCTGCGACTTTGTCCGCGTAGTAACTTGGCAAGTAACTCAAGTTACTCCTTATCAGCTATCTACCAGTGAATGTCCCGTCAAAATCGGCCAAGCCGTTATTTCAGCTATTAGCCGGAACAAAGAGACACAAAATATGTAAAAAATATTTCACTGCTTAACGAATGGTGAAAAGAAGAAAAACTATTACAATTATTACAAAATATTTTCATATTCGCCTCGGCTATAAAGTGCCTCGCATATTTATAAATTAAATAAAATACAGTAATTTTTTTTATCGAGTAAATTTTATAAATTCATTGTTTGGTGGTTACAGATCCAATAACAAATATAATGTAGTTTTGTCATATTTTATTACAGTTTATTAGGACGTTATTTCTTTGTACAAAAGCTATTTAACGTTACTCATTTACAGTGGACGCGCCCTCTTAAAGGCGTAATTAAACCTTAATTGCCTAACTACAATATTAAATATACCTTCACTTTATTGATTATATTACATACTAATAACTAGTCCAAATTGATTATTTCTGATTGTTTAGATCTATTTAGTGTGGCTTATTATTATTATTATCTTATTACATATTTTCTGAGGACAGTGGCGCTGTATGCTGAAATACAGGTATCAAACAAGTTCAGCAACAGATGATAAATAAATGTTAATGAAAAATATTTTAAGAATCACTGGTGTAAAAATTCGTTGTATCGATTATATAGTCAATAAAGATTATTATAATGGAATGTGCAACTGGCCGCTGATAATGGTTTTAATACTAGCCTTTATGTAGTAAAATTATTTACTGTTATTTACCATTACAATCAATCGGAGGCAAAATAAATGTATGTTAACTAAGTAACTGGTTTTCTACCACCAGGAGAGAGCAAGACAAGAGGAATTGGATCAAATAAAGAAAGCTCAAATCGCCACCGAAGAGTACCAACGAGAAATCACCAGGATGATGTCCCGGTAAGTTGACGATATCGACCGGCATATTTAAAGTCGACGTCCTAAGCAGGCGCTTATCTTCCTTTGTATTTAATATTTATGTTATTAAATTAAGCAATTCAATCAACCAAGCGAAAACTTAAACGATAATAAAATGCAAAATCACCGCCAATGCTATAACCTACAGATAGACGAGATGATGTATTTAATAAAGATAGCGACCTCTGAGGTCCCGGGTTCGATTCTCAGTCAGGTCAATGTAGAAAATTGACTTTTCTAAATTGAACGTAGTTAATCAAAAAGGATCTGGCTGTTGATCAACCTTCGTTGTATCTAATACTCCATAATACGGGGGCATTGTGATATTGTGTAATACGTAATTATTTATTAGTGCCCAAGAGGTCATAGTACATGTTTTTCAAATTCCCTATCCTAACTAGGTTACCTAGTTTATCTATAGGGTAATCCGTCACTGGTTAAATGGTAAGTCAAAATTCAAGGTCAAATTACCACAGGTTGATAAATGATTTATAAAATAATGTACTGGAAGTATCATGTCTCTTTAAGTAGGTATCCTATCTGTTTACAGCCCGTTCTTTAGTGACGAAGTACATCCATTTATGAAACAAATGGCGAAAGGCTTGAAGACACCTGAAAAATGTCCGTGCTCCAAGCCAGACTATTGCAAATGAACACATATTTAATTTTATGTGTTAGAGATGATATTTGAATAAATTAGTTTGAACGTTTATGATTTTATTTATTTATAATTATTAATAATTGACGCACTTTAAAAAACAATATACAAGTAGTTATAAGCTTCCCCGAACGTTCTCATCATGAAATTTGAAATTGTTATTCCTATCAGAGGAATACAATTATTTTTGATAGTAATAAAATATTTTATGGCAATAAATTAATTGTTGTAATTCATATAATTAACTGTTACTCGGTCAGTTGCACAAACGTCCATTAAGGTTTAATGACGTCTTTAAGCTCTAATGAATGGCACAATTGTATGGGTAATGTCACTTTAAACAAATGAAAATTTTAATGGACGTTTGTGCAACTGGCCGACTGTCATTTACATACAAGATGAACTCTATGAACGAGTGCGTAGTTAATCGTTGAGACGCTGGATTTGATACTTATACTATGAACTTTACAATACGATCTCGAGCCTCGATATCGGTGCTTACGCTGCTTCATTGATCCATCATAATGTAAGTGTTTTAGTTACTTTAGTTTCGGAGCAAAGTAAGTGATGTCCAATATTTATATTAGTCACAATATAAAGTCGCAATTGACGTCATTTAATACATAATCTGACATTGACATTGCATCTAACGATATATCTCACGCACGTGTTTCCACATTATCCTGTTTCTAGTTCGTATACACAATATTTTTTACCTCTACTTCCTAATTTTAATGCCCGACGCGTGCTCTAGATGAATGCGATAAATAAACGACGGTAAATTCAAGTTGACAATTCTTGAAGCAGTCTCTCTAATAAAACTTTACAAGTTTATTGTTATGAAAACACATTAAATATCAAATAAAGTATGTATACATGCCTACTTTTATTTAGGTATATTATTTGTACAGTCGACAGCATGTAAGGTTAAAATGCCTGTAACTGATTTCATATCTTATTCTGTTAAGTTTTAAGTTCAAAATAGATTGTAGTAATTTCAAAAAGCAAATCTTATTGATAAAGTTTTTTTCCAGTAGAAGTGAAATTATAAGACTAAAAATTCAGAAGTGAGTAATTTTTAGTTATATTATTTATACTTAATTTTTTTAAAGAAACGCCACTCAACGATGTTAAAGGTAATGAAACTAATAAGTTACCCTACATCTTGTTATTACTTTGTGACTGTACATGTTTTCATTCAATCCAAAATTTTCCTTCTTATATTCGTTTAAAATTCTGGTTGCATTATAATAAAAACTTGTATACTTTATATGAGCTTACCTGTGTTACTCATATTCATGTAATTTCCTCAAGTGGTAAACACGCTCCGTTCTATAAAAGCCAGGTAGAGTTGTGTGATCATCATTCTAACTACAACGGCGAAAGATGTTCCATCTACTATTAGTGTTAACTTTCGTGACTTTAGCTAGAAGTCATGATGTCGTCGTGGGCACAGCTAACGACGGTACAAAAATCTTCGATGAAGAGAAGCACGCAAATCCAGCAATTTGGAAACAAATAGAGAATGTAACAATCAGTGCTAAGGACAATGAAGTTATAAGTAAAATAATAGTAACAGATATGAGGCCAGAGAAGGATGGAGATGTGAAAATAATACAAGGTGGAGAAGGCCAAAACAACGTTACTCTCGAACTGAAAAGTCCAACTGCTTTAAGAGGATTCGCTTTTCACATCGAAGTATATTCCGCCCCGAAAGATAAAGTAAAAAGCAACACAGCAAGCAGTACAGTAACCACTGAAAATATTGGAGTGCCTTCTCATCCAAGTCAAACAACAAGACAGCGACGAGAACCAGAAGTTAACCCGGCAAATTTTAATATACCTGTAACAACATTCACAGGAATAGATGATTCAAACGACACAAGGCAATACGACGGAAAGAAAAATACTGAAACTAGCGCAGTTAATCCAAAAGTTAGCCTTTCTCAAAAATCATCAGAAACTAAAGTGCAAGTAACCCCAAAAACCGAAACAGACATTGAAGGACTAAGAATAGCTCGTGAAACTGTAAATATATATGAAAAACAACCCGACGAAGCTAAAAATCTTCACAAAGTATTATCGAATCCAATAATCACATCAAAATTAGAGTCAACTGAAAAGCTTGATCGAGAATCTACTGGTAAATCCAATACAGATTCACTCGGAAACGATAACAAACGCGGCGTTAGAGATACGCAAACTGAAGACAGAAGCGACCATTCAAATCACACTATTAACGATGAGAACAGAAGTAAACAGGATTCTATTGTACCTGCACTATTAACAGAAAACCCTACGCTTCCTCGTCGATTTAAAAGGCAAGTAAGTCAATCTGAAAATAATAACAACATTACCAAAATACCTAACGGTGGGGCTTTCACGCCACCCTCAGAATATACTATAACTGAATTACCAAATGTGAAAGAGAGAATAGTACGTGACACTGATGGTGAAAGGCAGAATCCTGAAAATAAAGCTGCATTATCACCAACTTTTAATGACCAAAAACGAAATTCTCATACTAGCTCACAAGGTGAGACTGATCAATTCGGTAGACCAAATAGTGATTCATCACATGTAAAGGAGATAAAAGTACGTGATACTGAAGATAAGAAACCTGTAAGTCCCCATACACATATTACTAACGACGATAGTAAAATTTTATTACCACCCCCTTTAAACACGGAAATGTCGAATCCTGGAGGTAAAGTTCTACCTCCGGTTACCGTTCAAAAACGAAATGCTCAAGGTGGTACTCAACAAAATAGAAAACCAGACACTGACATTTCTAGAAATCTAAGCCCTCTGCCCTATGCAACATTATCTACAACAACAACAACAACAACAACAGAGAAGTCACAAATCAAACGACAGACAGAATCTAAATCGATAAACGAAGAGAAAAGCAAACAAGACGGTTTGAAAAATATTCCACAACCAGTTGGGCAACAAACAGTATTACCTACTGGTAATGATAAAAAAATAAACTCACAAGGTGAGACTCATCTACACGGCAGATCGAATGTGAAGGAGAGAACTGTACGTGACACTGAAGTAAAGAAACATGTAAGTTTACATCCCGATATTATTAAGGATGACACGAAACTTCCATTACAACCCCATTTAAATACGGAAAAGCCGAATCCTGGTGAGAAAGCAGGAACATTACCTCCTATTACCGTTCAAAAACGAAATTCTGACGGTGGGGCTGAACAAAATGGAAAATCAAACACTAACATTCCTAAAAACCTAAGCCCATTGCCACACGCAACATTATCTACAACAACAACAGAAAAGTCACAAATCAAACGAGATACAGAATCGAAATCGACAGAAAAAGATCATAAAAATAAAGGAATCTTAAAAAATGCACCACAGACGGTTGGACAACAAAATACGAAACCAGAAAATAAAGTAACAGTAACACCTACTAGTAAAGATCAAAAACGAAATTCACAAATAAACTTACAAGGCGGTAGATCGAACGGGAAAGAGAGAACAGTACGTGACACTGAAGAAAAGAAACCTGTTGGTTCATATCCAGATGATAGTAAACTTCCACTAAAACCCCATTCAAATACGGAAAAGCCAAATCCTGAAAAAAAAGCAGGAATATTACCTCCTATTACCGTTCATAAACGAAATTCGCAAAATGGGCCTGAACAACATGGAAAATCAAATACCGACTTTTCTAAAACACTAAGCCCATTACCTTATGCGACATTATCTACAACAACAACAGAAAAGTCACAAATTAAACGAGATACAGAACCAAAACCGACAGATAACGAAGAGAAAAGTAAAAATATTTTGAAAAATGTACCACAAACAGTTGGACAACAAAAACCTATATATGACCCAAAACCTATTCAATAGTAGAGTGTATATACAGAACAATCATGAGAGTAGTTGATAGCATAGGTGTACCTATTTAAGCAACAACTTAAGTACTAGCTAAGAAAATACGATAAAATAAATACTAAATTGTTAAAAATATTTTTTTATTTTTACTGTAAATAGAAATAATAACCGTATATTATGCAATAGTATAAAATAACAATGACATCGATTGGAATAGTTTGAACATTGGATTGACATTATTAAAGCTTATTCAACAAATATCAAACTTTAAGGTAACATCAAAGAAGAATACAGAATTCCATTGTTAAAAAATCCTGTATGGTGTATTAGTAATAATATCACATTCAGTCGATACGATTTCAATGTATAACATTCTTAAGATTCAAACAAAAAAAGGAATGTTTTGGTTCGATAATAAATAAACCCATTTTGTGCTAAAATTACATTTGCAATGCTTATAAGTAATGTTTATGTTTACTTTTTGTAAATAGCTGCTCCTATTGGCTTAGAACCCCTTGTGTAACAAAAATGTGGAATCCTAAGTTATTGTCTTAAAAACAGTAAGCTAGACAAATATGCTACATTCAATGAACAATTAAGTATAATACAAATGTACAGTACTATAACATTTTTGTAAAAATTGTGCAGTCAATAGCACGCCATGTTATACATAACTGACAATTCTCCCAACTCTATTCTAAACCTTAATGCATTGAAGATAGAGTTCAAAATCAATTGCGGTAATTTGACATATGGTCTAACTAACGTCCAGCTGTATCGTACACTCAACAGTACGTCAGTTTACAACAAAATGTAAAATTGTTACAAACAATTTAGTACTTTAATAAATGTTTTGTTATATTTTATAATCAGTTTGGGAACCCGGAGATTATTTGATAACCTGATTTGCTGTTGACATTCATTCTTAGTTGTTTTTATTTTAATAGTAAATTGAGCAATAAGTTATTTCTCAATAAGATTGCGCCATTCCTAATATGTTGATTAAGGGAAAAGTTCGACAATGCCTTAATTTTTTCTTTCTTGTGGGAGAGACAGAAACAATAGTTGTACCGTAAGATCACAATATACACTAAGTTATAAGATATAAAGATTATGAATGAATACCTAAAAAACATTAATATTTATTTTTTAAATTACAATATCAATTAATTCCTTTCCATTCCAAGGAATTGTTAATAAATTAACATTTCCTTTTAATCATTCATTTTCTTGTGGCTCAGCCGATTCTTATTTCTTCTTGGGCATGAGAGGAGAACTGTCGAAAATCTTACGTAATAATAAACGAATGACGCTTAATAACAATAAATATATTGGATTGGAACATAAATAATGAACAATTTATTTGGTACCCAGTCAAGGTCAAAAATATGTATACATACACCACAAGGAGCCATAAAATGTTACCCTCCAAATTACCATAGCTATGGAAACATGCAAAACTACAAAAATAATTCAGGAGTGTTGGGCGGTTTGGTTTCATCCATAAGAATATTCATGCTTTAGCGCCACTAATCCGCCATGGGCCCTACACAGTATGGAATGCAGGGTGGATTGGTTATATTTTATTTTAGCACCTACACACGACGAGACATACACGCGAAACCGGACACTACGAAAAGAATTGTAAACATTTTTATTGCTATTTTTTTGTATGAGTTATTATGACATCAAATGAAAGACATAAAACATTGATAGATGGCCCTGTTGATGGTGATAAACAAAACATAAAGACTTGCATACAAGTTAATATACCCTTAAGTATACTTATAGATACACCTCAATGTCCATGGACTACATATTTATTACTATGACTATATATTTGCGTTTAGAAGAATATAATTTTATGGGACCTTATATGAGTCATTGAGATACATATTCCGAGTAGAATAGATGTTCTATATACAATATTATATAGCTTATACAAATATTGATAAAATGTGTGCATTACTTATAACTGTCTCTTTTTAACTAATCATTAATAGTTTATAAAGCAGGGATTGATAATATTTCTTCAGTTCACATCTTGGCAACATTCTTGATAAAACATGTAGTCCTGTTCTGAATCATGTAGAAGCATAGACTGATGAACTAAGTGATTTTTTTTTCAAATAATTATAATCATACTCCCTCTAAAATTAACTTACACCTCAGTGTGTATTCCACAATATAAAATTAATGTATTAAAAATTATACTTTTAAAACTATTTTATGAGATTTTAATATTCAGACATATTTGGAATAAATGCAACAGAAAAAACAATACCTATATATACAGTCAACAGCACACAAGGTTATACAAACTGTTGATTTCCTCCACTTTATTTTAAATCACAGTTCTTAAAAGGTAAACTTCTAAATCAACTGTAGTAATTCAACATTGAGCAACCTGTCATGCTGTTTTGTGTACCACAAACCAGTTAATGCTTGCCCAATACCCAAATAAGTTTTAGTCTAATAATTTCATAGAAATCGAAAATCTAGATTATGAGCATAATATACTTGTCTCTTCCTAGTAATATTTTTGAGACTAATCATATTTTATCAGGGAATGTACGTTGATACCATCAGGTATGTTACTGCGTCCTTTGAGAGATACCAGCTCTATTACTGCCAAGCAGCCAGCGATGTTTGCTCCACATGTCTTCAAGAGGTGCACTGCTGCATTCAAAGAGCCACCTGTCGCTATTAAATCATCTACAATAAGGCACTTGAGACCGGGACGAACAGTATTCTGTATTTCTAATATATCCTGCAATATATTTTTTTTATTAATAATATTCAGCAATTCACATTCACATATTTAGAAAAAAACTATCTGTATTTTTACTTACAGAGCCATACTCCAGATCATATTTGTATGACACAATGTCACCAGGCAACTTTCCTTTTTTACGCACTGGTATGCAACCTAGGCCTAGTTCTGCAGCCAGAGAGAAAGAAAACAGAAATCCTCTAGACTCTAAGCCGACAATGGCTTCAACATCAGGATATCTATCTCTCACAGTCTGGACCAGCAAATTCTGAAGTAACCGACAAGTGTTACCATCTGATAAAGCTGAGAATATGTCCCTGTAAAAAAAGTGTATATTAATTTAAGTAACAGTAAAGTATATATGCTATATAAGTTCAGAAACTTTAAGAAACAAATATTCTGAAGATTTATTAACTTTTATTACCAAAATAATATTCCTTTTTTAGGGAAATCTGGAAAACTTTTGATTTTGCTTTTTAATTCCTCAACGCCCTTTTCGTAATCAGAGGTCATTATAATAGGAGATGATAACCCTTGTTGCTAACCTAACCTTAAAGATCACGATAACTTATGAAATAAAACTAAGAAATAGTTTTTTACTGCAGTTTCATTTCACAAATATAACTACTAGCGTGCAAAACATGGAAAAGTAAGACGTCCAATTTATCACTGACGTTCAACGAATTGTCTCCGTTTGCCTCACAGATCACTAAATATGTAGCAAGTTTGCCTGTTCGAATTTATTTGATTGATAGATTGTTATCAAATACTTAATAGGTATCAATTGTTATTTAACTAAAAATAACATATATATTAGGAATGGGTAAAAGCTATCGATATATCAAATTATCAATATTTTTTTCTAAAAATATCGATATAAATAAGCTATATATTTTTCCCGTGATATATCGGCTTTCGATATTTATTTTCAGATATCAAATTCGATATTCTTTTTTAATTTCTGCTGTCTGCACATGCGTCACATCATGTATTTCTTAAATTTAGAAATATTTAAAAGAGTAGGTGTACAGTAGGCTGTATGAGTTTAGTCTATGACCTGTTTGTGTTTTTTTATTTGACAGTGACACTGCTTGTTGGTTTAGTTGGTATCACTGAATGTGCTCCTGATGACAAATGCACGTTTGTTTGAACAATCTAATTTTGGTTCTGTTAATAACGTTGTTTTCTTAGCTTTATGTGCCTATTTTAAATAATAAATCTGATCTCAAAACAGCCAGGTGTGTAATTACTTCAAAATTTCGAATATTTTGAAATTATCATTGATAATCGCTTAATACGCAGAAAATATCGATATATCAATATATCGATATGTTTTTGACGATATTTATCAATACATTTAAAAAATATCGATTTGATATATTTCGATATTTTTTTCCCATTTGCCCATCCCTAATATATATTCTCTCTATATATATATAAAACGATATTTGACAAGACACAGTTAGGGATGCAAGACGAGTAAATACAAGTACTAACTTACTCGATACTTTTCTTTTGATTAAAAGAATTTTGGTATTCAAATCAAAATTGTTTATTCAGTTTAGGCTTTTACAGAGCACTTGTGAAAGTCGAAAACTACGCCATCGGTTCGCAAAACTATGGCGGGAGACCTTGTACTGAGAAGAACCAGCAAGAAATTCAGCCAGGGCTGCTTTTTTCTCCTTGTTTTATTTCACACAGAAAAATCTTATTGAAAAGTGACTTCATTAGAATATGAAGTTACATTCCATTACAATATCAGAAATAAGAGAGATATTTTCGATAAGTGATTAATACGCCGATGCCCGATTCATATATACTCATTAACAAATCAATATACAATATTCTTTATAAAAGGAAATGGACGAAGTTGAGTAGTCCAGAGCCAATGCATCCCCATTGGTAGCACCCGTTCACGAGCATGACGCATGAGCCAGCCATCGCTTCGCTCAACCATATTTCACGGAACATAACGACCTGAAACACTACCCTACTATATAAGTTACTTTATGCACGACACCACCGCAAAGATTTTTAAGAGAGCGTGATTAAGGAAGCTAATGAGGAAGTATTAAAAAAAAACTAACTAGATGTCGCCACGGTACGTTCTCGATTTCTACATGACAACCCTTCCGGTTTTCATTCATATTTCAAAGTAAATAAGCTTTCAAAACTCAATAAACAATTCATATTCTATTTGTACTTTTTCGTATTTGTATTGATATCTAAGTTTCAAACTTTGCAGGTTTCCGTTTTTTAATATGTTACTTAATAGGAACGGAAATGGCTGTTTTTGATCCATTCGTTTCCTGCAAAAATCAACTTTTGCTAGAGTCGCCATCTAGGGGAGGTGCTTTCTAGTGCTTTTTTTTTATACTTCCTCATTTTAATACAACTATCAGTACCTAGCTGCATGACACGGCACATAAAATTTACATAGATACAATGTTAATCACATTAAATTAAAATATCTAACACCATGCCATTTTCCTACTCGATGATGGAGACAACTGGCAAGGGAGACTAAAGGATAATTATTTGCCTCCGAGCTAGGTGTTGTTCGCCTGGGGAGCACGGTCCAACCGTTGAGGTTAGACGTTCTATTATACAATCAATCGTGATAAATTGTTTATCTATTAAGATAAAAAAAAACAAACTTCTGTACATCCCTATTTCTCATACGTAAAACGTCACACACATCAATCAATTGCTATTGTCAATGTCATATTGACCAAATGTCAATGATGTACGTCATACTCATACTATTCAAAATTTAACGGGATGTGTTTGAATTTAAATATAAACAATATCTTGAAAATTTTGGTTTTATATTACATTAACTTAGTCCTATTCAAGCCACTACTAACAAAGTTAATGCAACTATTAAGATGCTATTTTAACCGCTACTATATCCGAAAAGTGCCGATGTTTTCCCGCTTAAGAATTTGAAATTATTATTTTAAAAATGATTTCGCCGACTGATTTGGAGAGGTTAATTACGGAGAAAAAACTTCAGATCGAGAAAGAAAAAATCCTACTTAACATTTCTTCAACCGAGACTCCCCTTGAAGTAAGTTTTTCAAAGTTACCCATCTCGATTTACACTTGTTGATTCACATTGCAGATTCCGCCATAATATTGATTTACTGTAGCCGTCAAGTGTAGCGTAGTGCGCTTGTGGTGTTTATTCGTGAAGCACTCATTTTCTGCGTTCATGGAGAACTTTTTAATATTTAAAAACATCTATAAGTAAAATCTTGAATTAACCTTAGGTGTTAACATTAATATTGTCTTGATTTTCTTTTAATGTATTTTGTGATTAAGTTAAATTAATACCTACCACCTGAGTTCAAGATAATTTCTTATCACCCTACCTAGAAACTTATTGGGTAAGTAAACAACTTTTTGAACAGGAATTGAAGTAACTAAATAAAGTTAATTGATTGATGTGTTGATAAAAGATTTTTTGTTACATGTAACCATCACTTTAATATTACTTAAAAATTAGTAAAATAAAATATTTATAAAACTAGATATTTTAAAGATAAACAGAAATTATGTTATGTAAATATTTATATTATGTAAAAGAGACAATCGCTTGCAACCACTATAATATTGATGCTTTTAAGCCACCTGACATTTTCGATTATTAGAAGTTTTGATAATTATCATAATAAAAGTTCCTTTGCAATAAGAATGTCATATTCCCATTTTCTTATAGCAGTAACTATTAGTTGTTAAATGAATCTCATTGCATATTCTATTCCAGTATTTGGGTAATATTTAAGAGAATGATATCATCAGTGATAGATAGGAACTACTGGAAGCAGTTGGAGGAGGCCTATGCTCTAAAGCACACCTAAACAAGGGACATAATGTAATCAAATTTATCATTTTATGCTACTTGTTTTTGGCAATAAAAGGCTATTATTTTTTATTTATTTATTATTATTGTCTATTTAAAGGCAAATAAAATATGGTAAATTATTTTCTGATATAACTGATAATAGTTATGCTCATATAATTAAAAGATGGTGATTTTTATCATAGCAACGACATGCTCGATATTAGAATAAATAATCTCACTTTTTTCATAATAGAATTAATGACATTTGCTTTTTAGCAAAAAAAAAAATTGTGCTTGAGGAGGAAATCAGTTTAAACTAGTAAAAAATGTAACACCAAATAAGTTCTTTCATATCTTTGTCACAATGGATATATGGTGTAAAATAGATAGATTCCTATCAGTTTTCAAAAATTCAGTTTTAGTATTTGCTTTAGAAGAAAACATGAATTTGAACAATCACCCAGTCAGTGGAAATTCAATTCAGAAGTTCAGAACTGCTATTGTAACAGACCATAAGTTATAATGAAAAATTGGATTACAATTCATTTAGCTCTAAATTGCAAGTGTTCTTTATGCGGTACTGAGGCTACTCTTGTCCAGTTTGGTCCCAGGGTCTGGCAGATTTCGTCCTCCCACCTTCTGTTTGGGCATCCTTGTTTTCTTACACATCCCTTTGTAGATCATACAGTCATCTACTTACTCCACTATTCTATTGAACTGTGCAGCATGTGTCCTGTCCATCTCCATTTTTGATGCATTTAAGTATATCAACCACTTTAGATATGGTTGTATTCTTAATCTTGTCTTGGAGTTTTACTCCCAACATACTTTTCTCCATAGCTTGTTGTCCTTGCCAGTTATTCTCTATAGTTGGCTGTAAGGGACCCAGGTCTCGCAACCATAAGTTAAACATGGAATAATACATGTATTAAATGTCTTTGATTTTATATGTATGTTAAGTGTTTTATTTTTCATAATTTCTTTATGTGCCCAATATTTCTTCCAGCCATTGATTATACTTCTGTCAACTTCTCTGGAGATGAAGTCTTTTGGAGATAACATTTAACCTTGATAAACATACTCCTGAACATAACTTAAGTTCCAGTTCAGCAACAAATAACGTTCAGTACAATATCAACCTCTCCACTCTGTTTGTCATCTCTTTAGTTTTAATTGCATTTATTTCGAGTCCAACTTCTTTACTTTTGTTGACTAGGGTTTCCACCATGATATCTAGCTTGTAAGGGTCTTCTTATAGCAGGACTATATCGTCTGCAAACCGTTAATAATTTAGACAGCTGCCATTAATATTTAGACCATAGTTGGCTTAGTCTAATTTTCTAATCTAAAGTATTCTCCATCACGGCAATGAATAGTTTAGCTGACAATTGATCTTCTTTCCTTACTCCTCTGTTTATAGGAAAAGGATCACCACATAATTTTAATTTAATACGACTCTTGCTCATATATATGTATTTGATAATGTTGATGTAAGTGTCCTGTGCTCCCCGCTGTCGCATAGTATACCAGATTGACTATCGAATGCCATGCAGTAGTCTATCTAAACGACGTAGGTATATTGGTTTCTGATACTCATGTCCGTTTTCACTGAAGTTAGGATTCGCCCAAATCCGTCGCCTAAATGTCTAGGAATTGCCTAAGGTAAAAATGAATTTCACCATTGACTAGGGACCACCTAACAAAATTGAGCAATATCTAAAGTCATGCAATTCGTTACGCTAAGCATTTGCGTATATGCTAGGTCATAAATATATCAAGGGATAAATATTATTCGTTTCCTAGTTAAGCTATACCTTGTCAAAAATCAAAATCAAAATTATTTATTCAGTCTAGGCTGTTACAAGCACTTGTGAAAGTCGAGAGTAACACCAGTGACACCACTTGTTCTAGTTGAATGAAAATGGGTGTTATTGTACTTTTCTAGGATTT